TATAATTTTAATGCCAACAATTCACCTGTAATAACTCGTGATCTTATGCTCTCTTCCAATGATTACCACTAACCCTCAAAGGCCCAAAGACACCCTTCTTTGTTCGAAGGTCAATAGAGCAACTTTCAAGGCTTTTAAATACAACTATACTTGTCAACTATTCTTGCCCCAAAAAAGGGAACTAAACAAAATCATCTCCTTATGGCAGAGGCCAAATTTTTAGCACTTCCAATTACACTCAATGTAACGCCCCGAAAATTTTATCTAATAATAATTTATTTTGCCCCCGTTTGATCCCCATTAAATTCAAGTCCATTACATTCCATTTTTCTCTCACCTATTTTCAACCACACAATCTTTCATAAAATAATATTACACGTAAATTGAAAATTTTTCTTTCTTTTTCAACCACTCATTTTTTTAAAAAATACTATTCCCCCCATTTTCATTTTCAGGTAATGGGGGTCAAACGAGGGCTTTGTATGCTATATATTTACATTTTGATATTGATGGACTAAAGTGAAATATGTTTCAAATTATTTAATTTTTGGGTCAAATAATTAGATTTTGATGAAGTGAAGATAAATATATTGATATTGGACTCTCTTTGTAACTCGTAATTAATTAGGAGTCTTGACCTAAGAAAAAGTTGTTTTGGATTAGGCTAATCAAGTTAAGTTCAATTAAAAGAATAATAGGTTAATAGAGTTGGTGAGGACTTGCAATATTAATTAAGTAAAATTCTTTTCCTCTTCTAATCCCTACCACATGTGATTTTTATTGATATGAAAACATTACTTGAATACAATTCAAATTCTATTATTTGAAACCAATTCTTATCCAAATTCTTTGTATTACACAATTTTTCAATTCTATTTACATACAAACTCAATTGAAAAATTTCAACTATAACCCTATTTGGCTCATATTTTAATCAAATTTTAATCTGAGTTAAAATCAAACAATCAATATTAATTACATTTTTTACAGGTCCCACAACTTTTCAACTACACATTTCAAAAATTTTTAAAAATTTCTATCAAAATCTATTAAAAATCTAATTTTAATTCTCACCAAACAATCTCTATAAATATAGCAAGAATTCCAATTATTTTCCCCCGCAAAATAGAGAGAGAGCCATGGTAGAGAGGGGGGAGAAGATAAAGTATAGAAAAATAATAGGAGATTTTTACGTACAAGATTTTATTCCTTCCAACCTTTAAATAAACGAGGTAAGATACTTTTGTACAAGTGATTTGTGTCCTTATGCTTTTATGACCCCATTTGGTTTTGATTTTTCAAGCCAAAAAATAAATTTTTTTTATCGTCACTTAACGTGGTAAAAAGTCATTTTAGACTTCTTCACTCACATTAGGACCCAATTTTCTCTCTAACGGTCAAAAAATTGATTCTACCAATACGTACCAAACATGTCCTATGTATTCAATTAAATATACATGAATTACCAATGACCTTCGAGTTCTTTAGAAAGAGATATGAAATCCTTCGAAAATTTACGAGGACATAAGATGGTTGTGTTGCTTCGTCGCCGTTATACTCCATAAAAGAAGAGTGATATGAAGTGTTTATTTATTGTTGTATAATTATGTATGAAAATTGAATGTATTTTACTGAATATTTTTAAATACTCTTACAATAATTTTTTAGGTTAGTTCGGGTCGATTGGAACTATGGCGGGATGGTGATGCGGGCTGCCACGAGGATTCGAAAAAACGAAAAGCATTAAGTTTTCCTGTCTTTCAATTTGTTGGTTAGTTTGATTAGTTCAAACACGTGTTATTTAATTAGTTAGGTGTTTATGTTTTTTTAACATACAATTTTCATGTTTTAATTTAAATTTATGAATATCCCAGTTATTTTTTTATAAAGAAATTTGTTTTTATCATTCCGCCATTAATACGAAGAAAAGTAAATATTTGGTAACACTTCAAAGTTTGTGAAAATTTGGAGTGTTACACTCAATATGGTTGAGTCAGGTACTAAAAGTTCTGTGTAAAGTCAGAATATTAATAAAAACAAAGAGCTCCTATAACATCTATTTTCCTTTTCGTGAAGCAAGCTTATGGGGACACTAGTCAAATCTACAATAAATGAGTCTTCAATGATTTATAAACCATCGCCAACAAATGATACTCATTTCTAGGTTCTCATCAGTCCATCAACATCTATTTAATTACGAAGGCCATAAAATGGCCTTCGTCATTGTCTGCCCTCCTCCCTCCTCTCCATCCCCTCCACCAAAACACACATGAACGCACGAATGCATCAAAGGTGTGAATAAATTTCTTTTATCTGCTCATTTGCTTTCGTGCAATCTCATCCCACCAGCAGTTAACTGTATAAGTGAAGAATCCATTGACCTTTCCCATCCTCCTATTAATTTTTTTCTTGCTTTGCTTGAGAATTCTTTTTTTTCTAGAAGCAAATTGTGCTGATATTAGAACTCAAGTAGACAGATCATCGTCTACTGCAAGCTAGTATGCTTGAAAACATTCGGTTATACTACCAAAACACAACTTCCCCCCTTACTTTTCAGATTGAAAGACACGGCTAAAACAAACTTAATTCAGTAGTCAAGGGAAAAATAAGAAGCATCAACACTATATTTGGCAGCATTGAATTCGGCTAAGAAATTGGAACTTGCCGAGAAGCAGTTCAAACTTAAAGAAGCTCGCATACAATTCCCTTTACAAGGCTCAATCTTATGTTGCCAACCACTACTTGAATTACCTCTTAAATCACACATTGCATGGATGATTTGTGGTACACTACTGTAACTAGTGAGAGAGATTATTATGTCATCATCATGACAAGGATTGGAGGAGTAAAATATTACTTTCCATTTTAACAACGTTTCATTCAAGGGTTATACTTCATTTACAATAAATTTCATAATTAAAAAAAAAAATGAACTACCATTAGAGACTTACCAGAAGATGGAAACCTTAAAATTCCACCATTTCCATCTGAAACTGGGGACTTCCGACATGCAAGTGAACGGAAACTATCTAATGAACTGCCCTCCTCAGAAGCTAATGCAGTTTCCACAGTGGTAGCAGATTTAACATCCAAACGATCATCACCTCCACCTCCATTAAGTAATATATTTGAAGAAGTCTCTTCACCTGCTACCCTTCCACGGTTGTCCAATAGAAAGCTCCATGATGGTGAATGGCAAACATGCCTCTGCAAAGTTTCATTGGGTCTTCCACTTGTTATAGTACTGTCTCTAGCAGCAACACAACAAGCAGATCCCATTTTCTCTCACACACCCAGAACAAATTATTGATAGCTTATGGGTAACTGTCTTTCACATCAATGATTTTAGCAAAAGGGACAAGAACTCATACAAACAGGAGTTATCTGCAATCAAAAATTGAATGGTAACAATCAGACATCAATTAATTATGATCTCGAAATAACTTATACACTTTACATGTGCCAACAGTGAAAAACCTTCTGATTTTTTTACCAGGACCTTACTCAATAACCCAAATCTCTGATACCTTAGCTGACTCACAGTAAACTTGTATACAAAGCATTAAAAATTTATAATAGTATTATATAATACTAAACAGATAAGTAAGAGAAAATGAAAATTAAAATATAATGATATCAACACAGCCAGTTATCAGACTTGAATGGATATGGAAAAACTGAATATCATGATTGACACCAGAATAGTCACAAAGAAAGTGGAAATGGAGACTGAAGTATTGTGAGATATGATTTCCCAACTGTAGTCTCTACAGAAACTGTATGCATACAGTCGGAGTGGTATACAGTACTTTTACAATCATTCACATAATTAAAATCCGAACAAATGAAAAATTATAAACTGCAGTCAATCATCAAATACAACAGAACTACAGGACCATTTTGACTGTGTCAAATCAACCCATTCTGATAAAACAGCTCGATCATCACCAAAAATTATTTACCTAAATCTCCAGCAAACTGAAAATACAGAAACAATTTTGATTAATTAAGCGAAAATCGAACCAATAAATTTATACACCGCAAACAAATGCCAGATGCACAATTAGCGATTCACAAAGCTATTTCGGAGAAGAAGACAGGTAAAACACCAAAAAAACAACAAGAGTTCGACACTGTAGTTGTCATAAGAGATCCGAAATTCATGCCCAAATAACTGTAATCACAGTCAACATATTAGCATATCTCATTCACCATTACATAATAATCCTTTCTGATGCACATAATTTCCATTCATATCTCACAATTAAGGCATCTAAATCTCTCACTTGCACACATCTATGATAATAATATAAACACAAACAAATATCACATATATATTGAAGTAATTATAGATTTATACCGAGCCTCCTTATAAATACAAGCGAATTTTACGTGATCGAACCTGTACGTTCCCACCGGTCTGAAACCCTAGAAAGAGAGAGTAGCTGCGTGCGAGAGTATCGAATATATAGATATGTGCAAAATTAGAGAGAGAAGGTTCTGCTTGTTCTTCTACTTGTATATTTGCAGAAAGAAAGAGAGGCAGAGACAGAGAGAGGGCGTTTTGGACGGTTTTCTTAACGCCGTCAGTTTTTGTTGTGGTTATAACGGCGTCAAGGGATATCTGTCGTGAGCAAGTGTAAAAGTCTAAAAGAGCTTTATTAAAAGCCGATTTTCTGGGGAAAAAAATATTTGTGCTATTGAGTGGTACTTATCGCTAAAAGGGATTGTACCTTATGATTTTTTTTTAAAATTTTCCTATTTTATTTACTCTTTTTCTTTCTTTAGGTTTGAAATTGTGTCAGTGAGGACTGCGATAGAGGGGAACCCTAACTGGTTTCTTAAGGGGTAAGCGGAGTGCGTAGTACGCATTCCATGCTTTTCAAAAAAAAAATAATAAAATAAAATAAAATAAAATAAGCCATTTTTATTCCATGCTTTTCAATTTACACACGTAAGCATCATAAGCCATTTTTATTCAAAAAAATAAAAATGAAGCGACATTTGTCAATTATACTACTCGAGTCTCTCTTCTCATTTCTCATGTGAACATAAGTCCTTATTTAAAATTAATTTGTTTATACTCATTTTTAATTATAAATGCTTCAAAAAAAAAAATCATTTTTTAAGTTTTTTTCAATTTTTTTCTTATTTTATATTCACACATTCTCCATGCAAAAATATGACAAGTTGACGACCCACATTTCTATTTCTAGTATAGAATAAATTTCAATGCATAATGATATTCACGTCATTTTTTGATCTAAAATTTGAACGTTAACACTTGAAAATTCGACCCATCTTGACACATACATTATGAAAAATTCTTGGTATTGTCTCACTTTCTATTCATAGCTAGATATTACTCGATTTAGGTTAGAAGTTAGGACATGTAAATGAGAAATGGTGGATCTGATTGAGGGTACAAAACAAAGGGATTTATGTTCCACACTTCCACACACACTAGCAGACAAGTGAGCCCGACTCTTTTACATTTAAATACAAATGCAGCTAACTTAATTAAGGCAAACAAACTAGAAAAGCCAAACATAAACCCACAAGATATGTGTCTGTGTTGGGATTAATTGTTGGTAAATTTAATTAGCAGTGCATGGAGTGAAATCGGGTTCTCATATACCGTATATGTGATTTAGACACCGGATTCACGTTTACCGTATTAGACAGTGATATAACAACAGAATTTGTAGAAACTTTATGATAACTTAAAGGACAAACTGTTTGTTTTCAAAATTTGAATTTCCATAAACACGGTTTCATATCCCGGTTCGTATATACAAAAGATTATCTAAATTGTGAGAATTAAAACAAATTCAACTACTTGAATAAGTACAGCAATTATATTATTTGCAGAAACACAAACATAGTATAAATTTCAGAAAATAGAGATTTAAACCGAAAGTTAAATAAATCTGGAAAGCATGTAAATCTACAAATAAAGAAATGCACAGAGATTTAAATTGCAAAGCATATAAATCTAAAAATAGACTTTTAACCCGAGACCTGTGTAATCACAGTTTTATTAAAACAGATTCGCCCCCTCACTGTAAGTGCTTGAAGTCTAGTACGAGCGTCTGTTTTCCAAAATATAACGGTAAAACCAGCAAAATCTGAGTACTACAGAAACTACTCTGACAAACCGATTTAACGTCTGAACAATATCACCACCACCACGACTTCACTAGACAGAAAGAAGACGACGATAGAATTTGGGAATTTTTTCGTGCAGAGAGAATTTCGTATGTTTTTTCATAAGTTTAATTGCTGGAAAACGTGAGATTTCATATAGCATAAATCTGCCGTTAACTCTATAGCAATTAAGATTGGAGTCACTTCAATTTCTAGGAATTTTGGAAGTTTTAGAAACTCAAAAGTCAGTGGAGAAAATAAGAAAAAAAATTGCAAAACGTGGGTTCTCCAAAGAGGCCAATTTTTGCCACGTTCGTTCGACATTCATGTACACAGGTCGCGCCCGTACACAAGTTCAAGGTCCGAAGGTAATTTTGGTCTAAAATTTGCACCTCCTGCGTGTGCATATGAATAGAGCCTCTATACTACACGTGATTACACCATTCCAAAGTGTAATTTTATATAAAGTAGTTCTTGCTTTCATATTTTTCCTATGTGGGACTAACTATAATTTTTTTCCCACATAATCATCTTTTAACGGTCATCTTTGAGTTCCAATTTCTCATTCACCCAAGCTTCATTTTTGGCAAAAAAATATATATGATTTTGATATTCTCACGGAGGAGAACACGGATCAACTTTGATCTTCCAAATTGGACTAACGGGTCCCACCGAAAATTTTGCCAAAAGTGAGCTATTACTCATTTTTTCCAACAATCCCCCACATGAATGAAAATTGGGAGAGACATGAGACTGTGAGACACAAGACTTGGTGACCTTGAGACACAAGACTAGGTGATAAAGTTCAACGGTTAAAGCCTGCGTAGAATATGTAGGCATTACCCTTTGAACCTTCCCTTGTGAAAGTATATTTACTTTACTAACTGATCAGTAGACATGTTGTCCTTGAACTGTTCTGCCATTTATACAAATGATGATATACTCCACACAGGATTCTTCCTAATACAATTCAGTTCTCATTATTATATTCGTTTTGGCCATGAACATATGCCTGGTTCTGTGAGAGTTCTTCAGAATTGAGCCCCACACAATTCTCTTAGAAGCAGCCTCACTTCTCTATCACATAGGTGATTTCTTAGTACAAGTTACCCGTATTACTTGGCTCGATTTTCGACGCATAAGAATCATTAAAAACTTATTGCTTATCCTTCATCCTTACGGGCATCACTGTTACATCATAGGAATGGACAGGAGAAAACACTCCCACAGTGATTTTATTAAGCATTTACAATTAAGTTGTCCCTTTGAACCTTGATCTTGGGATCTCCAGTCAACCAGGTTGAGTTTCCTTTGTAATGGCTTATTCATTCAAGGGCTTAAGTCTCATTCCTTTCAATGATTTCCCAACTAACTCTCTATTTAACCCTTTGGTTAGCAGATCTGCAATGTTATCTTTTGACCTTACGTAGTCAATAGTGATAACTCCATTTGAGAGTAGTTGTCTTATGGTATTGTGTCTACGACGTATATGTCTAGACCTACCATTGTACATGTTATTCTATGCCCTTTCTATTGCTGATTGACTGTCACAATATATGCAAATTGCTGGTACAAGTTTTGACCATCTTGGAATATTCTCTAAGAAGTTACACAACCATTCAGCCTCTTCACCACATTTATCTAGAGCTATAAACTCATATTCCATCGTAGATCTGACTATAACTGTTTGTTTAGAGGATTTCTACGATATGACAGCACCTTTCAATGTGAACACAAATCGACTGGTGGACTTTAAGTCTTTCATATCAGATATCTAATTAGCATCATTGTATCCTTCAATGACAGTTAGGTATCTGGTATAATGTAATCCATAGTCACGAGTATATCTTAAGTACCTTAGTACTCTTACTATTCTTTTCCAATGCTCAGCTCTTAGATTACTCGTGTATCTACTCAGTTTACTGACTGTGTAGGTTATGTCTGGTCTTGTACAACTCATCAAATACATTAGATTTTCAATAACTCTCGAGTATTCTACTTGAGAGACACTTTCACCTTTGTTTTTAGATAGATGTTTACTTGTATCTATTGGTGTTCTAGTCAAGCCAGTATCATCCTTATTAAATTTCTTCAAAATTTTGTTCACATAATGTGACTGACTTAGAACAAACCCATCTGATGTTCTTGAGATTTTTATTCAAAGTATAATATCAGCTAAACCCATATCTTTCATGTCAAATCTCGAATTCAACATATTTTTAATGGATTCAATTATCTTATTGTCACTACCAACAATAATCATGTCGTCAACGTAAAGACATAAAATGAAATAACCATCTTTAGTGTCTTTGACGTAAACATATTTGTCACACTCATTAATTTTAAATCCACTTTCTATCATGACATTATCAAATTTTTCATGTCATTGTTTGGGCGCTTGTTTCAAACTATATAGTGATTTCACTAATTTACAAACTTTTTTTCCTGCCCTGGTGACGAAAATCCCTCGGGTTGTTCCATATATACTTTTTCTTTTAAATCCTCATTTAGAAAGGTCGTTTTAACATCCATTGGATGTACTTCAAGATTTCGCAAAGCGGCAATCGCAAGTATCAACTTAATAGATGTTATTCTCATTACTGGATAATACATATCAAAGTAATCAAGGCATTCCATTTGTTTATAACCTTTTATTACTAATCTAGCCTTATACTTTTTGATAGTTCCATCTGCTCTCATTTTCCTTTTGAAAATCTATTTATAACCTAGTGGTTTGCTTACTGGAGGAAGATACACTAACTCATGCATGATTCTGCAGTATGGAATCTATCTCACTTTTAATGGCCTCCTTCCATTGAAGTCCTTTCGAGGAATTCACAACCTCTTGATAACTTTGAAGTTCACTTTCTAGCATATAGGTCAGAAAATCAGGACCATAAGATTTTTCTGTCATTTTCTGTTTGCTACGTTTAACCTCAGTCTCTTCTTCTAGTTTTTTGTCATGACTATTTTCAGTCATAGTCTCATATGTTCGTTTGGAGGAGCTTGCTTCCTCTTTGGACTTGTACGGAAATACATGTTCAAAAAATGAAACATTTCTTGATTCCAATATCGTGTTTTTGTGTATGTCTGAGATTTTAGAATCATACACAAGAAACCGATAAGCACTTGCATACCCAATGAAGATGCAATCTACTATCTTTGGCCGTATCCTTACCTTCTTTGGTGTTGGAACGGCCACTTTAGCAAGACACTCTCACATTCGTAAGTATTTAGAGGAAGACTTTCTTTCTTTCCATAACTCATAAGGGGTCTTTTCCATTTTCTTTCAGGGCACATTATTTAAAAGGTAATTTGCTGATAACACAGCTTCCCCCTACATGTTTAGAGGTAACCCAAAACTTACTAGCATTGCATTCATCATTTCCTTTAAAGT